CGCAGGACCCCAGTTTGCGTCTTCATCCTTCAAGAACCTTTCTGAAAAATGTGATTTTAAACATCTTATGGCGAGCCTCGGAAATCATCAGGCAAATGACAAAGTCGAATCTGCAGTTAAGAGCGCAAGACTGCTCATGAGAAAAAACAAAAAACCATATGGACCAGTTTCTGTTATAGAGGGCCGTGTGTGTTTGCGCGTTGTCGTATTAGAAACACGTGTGTAACTCTCGGTAGAATATTAAAAAGTCCAACTACAATAAAATGGCCGGACTTGAATTAAGTCCAACTGAAGATGTAAAGAAGATAAACAAAACCGATATACATGTACATAAACAAATATATGTATTACACAACACAATTTTACAATGTTACATAGACAATAATATTTGAGTGTGTGAACATTTGTGACTGTTCTTTGGTGAATGTTCGTATTTTGGTGAATGTTCGTACGTACCTGTATGTGTGTTTAATGTTCACGGCGCCTCCCACAAATGGGAAAAGACGGATCTTCCGAGAGAGCTTACATTGTAGTCGCTGAAATGAAGAAATGAAAAAGAGAACGAGGCGAGAAGTCGCCCGGTATTTATAGTATAGGGAGAGTGACCCCTAGTGACAATTAGGGAATTAAGGAGGAGCTAACAGTATTTAGTCCCCCCCCCCATGAGGGCATCATGTGGCACATGGCCGGTTTAACGTGGGATCTCCGAGCCAGTGGGCTCGGCCAAAAATATGCCCTTTAAACCCGTATAAACGGGTTCAGGATCGGTTTACCTCCCCGAAAGAGACTCCGCCCTTCGGCGTAGCCTCGTTCGGGTTCCTCCCCGCCTGAAGGTAGAGAGTTCAACCGATCAGCCGGTCAGCCGGTCGCCCGACTAAGGAGGAGCTAACTGCTTGATATCAGAAACACCTTGCCCCAAGAAATGGCAAGCAGCTCCTCTCAGTGCCTACTAAATCGTCGCACCCATGCACTTCTCCCCATGAAGAGCAATTTGCTAAACCATAGGACAACGATCCTTGAACCAAGTGATAAAACTCTACTGGAACACAGTTCAGACTAAATACTGTGACCGTCATACACGTGATTTACCTGTACTGAGTGAAGGTGATGTCGTACTAATGCGCTCGTACAAGAAAGGTGATCGAGTGTGGGAAAAAAGGCGTTATAAATCACTGACTTGATGAAGGTTCATACGAACCCCAGACATCGAGTGGAACCTATCGGCGAAACAGACGTTATTTGAGCAAATCTTCTGAACCAGTAGAGCATGCAAGAAATGGTCAGCCACCACCAACCTCTACAGACACTCTAAATTTGCCACATGAAATGGCAAAAATACAAAGAGCTGCTACACCTTTAATAGTATCCTCATTAGCCTCAACTGTTGCGAGCGAAGGCACTAATACAACCGAACCAGAAAAATGCGAATCTCCTGTTGGGATTCAAACACGTACTGGAAGAGGGATACGACAGCTAACGTATCTGAAGGACTTTGTAAGACTGGTCAAGGACAGTACATGAGACTGTAGTTTCGACTTACAAAAGGGGAGATGTTACATTTTTGTTTAATGTATACTCTCTTTGCATTACCGTTTAATGTATGCCCCTCTAATCGACGTTAAGGAACACAATTCTTGATACCTGGTACTTCCTTTTCTCCCTAAACCTTTTCTCACTCTTTTTCTTCCATTACTCTTTTTCTTCGGGTCACCTTTCTTGTCAGCTCTTTCATACCCGAGTCTGTCCTGTTTTCCAAGACTTAATGTAACATTCATCATGTTGTAAAAGTTCATACACATGACATAGTAAGTTTCTCCACTAAGAAACACGAGTTCAAATTTTATCCGAATTTATATTTTCGTTTCGAACGAATTCGAAGAATATTTTGATATAATACGATGCGATAAAATGCTGCAAGAAATTATGATGCCAATAAAAATTATGCAGAATATCCATTTTAAAACTAAATTATGCTATTACTTGCTTGGTAGAAACTTACATCAAACGAGAAATTTGAAAATGAATTTAGAACACATTAAGCCTCTTACAAGAACACATTAAGCTCTTACATGAACACATTAAGCCTCTTACAAGAACACATTAAGGGATTAAGTCGAGCATTAACTGAACAGTTCAGAAATAAAAATAAACACTAGACAATATCCGTAGACATAAGCAGTGGAACGAGAACAGTCTACACCCGTAGATTGATTAAAGGCTTCATTTCAAAATTGCCTGTAGGTTACCCAGATGGATATACATCTGATGAAGGTCGGAGGGCACAACGGCCGAAACGTTGTAGACAGTGACGCGCAGAAGTTTGGTGATTCCCGGATCAACTCCTTGATTGTATATTCCTGAATGTTAAGTAAGTGGGGGGGAGTATAATAGCTAGTACTGAAAAATGTACTGAGAAAAGGAGACATTTTAAATGTGAAAAAAAAAACAAATGAAACCTGAAATAAACATTTCATTCAAATTAAATTGAATGTCCTCCCGATAAAAACAACAAAGATGAGGACAATAAAGAATAGTGTGATTGTAGGGGGAATATTCTAATAAACAATTTATTCTAATTTATGGGAATGTTTCTACTTCTATGTGCTATATCCATTTAGACAATCATGGCTCTTCTCAGTTTCCTGTCCTTTGTAGGTCTTAATAACTTTTATCTTTTTTCCATCTTTCCCAAACCCAGCTCCGCCATCCATTCGCTTAAGCTCGTCAGAAAGGTTGTGCGTTGCTTTCCACTTGCCCTTTTACCTTCGATCTGTCCTGTGAGTATCAAATATTCCAAGCCTCCTTTCCTCATTATGTGCCCCAGTAATTTCAACTGTTTCCACCTGATTTTAATTATAAGAGTCTTTTAATGCCATTGTTTCTAGATTTTCGCCGTTGCTCTCATGTTCGACCCATGGTGTTTTCAGCATCCTTTTGTAGAACCATATTTCTGTTGCTTCAAGTCTGTTCTTTGTCTTTGAGGAGACTGTCCAGCATTCACTGCCACAGAAAAGGATTGATACTACATAATGGTTCAGTACTCTTTTCTTTGTTTCTAAAGATATTTTATGTTTCTTAATAGTTTGCTCAGCATTTGGAAAGTATCTTTTGCTATCCCAATGCGTCTTCGGATTTCAATGTCGCACTTTCCGTCCTTTGCTAATAAGCTTCCCAGAAATATCTAAATTGTTACACCTGTTTGATTTCGGTATCTCCAATTTGTAATTTGCATTTTGGGTTGTCCCTTTTGCTAACAACCATTCAGTATTCTTGAAACTGATGTTTAGTCCTTCCTTCTTTCTTTCCTTCACTATCTCCTGTTTAGACAAAATAAAAAAGTCATTTTAGAACAATACAATAGATTCTTATAATGCTTCAGCGATCGCGCTAACGAGTTGGTTTTGATCTTTTTTCAACGGCGATTATCATCTTTCTTTTAAAAGAGATGTCCTTCAGAAACACATTTTTTCTTTATTTCGATTACGGTTTGTATTTTAATTATTAAGTCAGAATTTGATATGAACGTAGCAAGAGTTATGTTCAACATAAACCCTTGTACAAATTAATTGAAACAAAACGAATAATTCCGTTAATATTTACTTTTTGGTATTTTTCCAATTAAACATGACCCAGTTCGAATGTTAGTACTTTGTATGTCCATTCCATGAAGTCATTCTTTTTCAGATTGACCATAGATTCTCGATTGGATTTAAATCGGGAGAGTTTCCAGGCCAGTCTCTAGTACTTTGATTTGCTCACTGGTAAGGCTTGTCAGTTTGTTCGTGCAGTGTTACAATTTTTTGACCGTAGGACAACTAATCGACAGTCGAGACAATAGTGTTTGGGCGTGATGAAAATCTGATGCAGTCACGGATATTTTTCAAGGCCAAACAAATTTCACCATACAACCGAAAATAGATTCATATTACTGCACACCACTGCAAATGAACTAACTTGAGGAAAAAATAGAAATCTATTACTCCATGTCACTCCAGTGGGTCTAAAACTGACCGCATGGTTAAAGAAAGAAAACTAAAGCGGTTTTGTCAATTAATTTGCACAATGGTGTAGAAGCCAACAAGATAAAGAAGCAAAAATCCACAAAGACATATTGCAATCAGACCGAAAGACTAAGAGACAATACACATATATAAGATAGAAGTATAGATGTAAAATGTAAAGAACGTACTTAATGACATATAAGACCCCCACCCCAACATTTGTTACAAAATGATAACTTATAAAGAACAAATAAGAAAGGTTTATCAATGATTTCTCTATATCTCATTCTCTGATAAAGTTTTAATGAAAGTGAAACATGTTAGATTGATAAACATTTCCGATTTATTCTTTATCTTATCATTCTGTCGGATCCCGATCTATATTTGATCTCAATTTCATCTCAACTCATTTTGTCTGAACATGGAAAATACATAAAAAAAAAAAATTACTCTAAAATATCCCCCTGGATCTTATATGCAAATTTATATAAATTTACGTCATCTGCAGGGTGGCCGGTAAAAAAGCGACAAATTTATTATCACCGTTTCATCTTTCAGTAATAATTGATCTTGAATAATCTTGAATAAATTCCTTGAATATTTATGACAAATTATCGTACTTTTCAAAGAAGAACATCCGACTTGGGCATTGACGAAATGTAGAAAAATTCTTCCTGAATTTTTCAGTGACATTCGTAGTGACAAGTTTTGAACGTTTGTCTCTCGTCGTTCTGAATTTACCGCTTTTTTATTGACTACCCTGTACTAGTGTGAGACTGAGACCTAAATATCATAAACTACAAGCCATATAACTAAACTAACACCACAAGGCTGCAATGTTTAATGTAAATGATACAAGACTTACTTATTAACCCATAGCTGGAAGAGAAGAGGTGGATTCATACTTTTCCAAAGGGTAACGAACCCAACAGGATTGGAACTCGGCTCTCTGATTAATAATTCCGAACCATTATCCATTACACCACCCGCACATGCAAGCTTACAGCAACTGGTATTCTCGAGCGGTCACCCATCTAGGTACTGACCAGGTTCAACGTTGCTTAAGTTCGATGATCGTACGGGAACCGGTATTTCAACGTGATGTGGTCGGAAGCCATATCCTACTAAATGCAATTTATACGTATTTCTGTCAGTGTGTGTGAGTGTGTGCATGCATATGCATATGTGTGTGCATGCATATGCGTGTGTGCTGGCGTATGAACTCGTGTCTAATAACGTAGAAACTTGCTATGTCATGTAATAATGTTTATAATATGTTGAATTTGTACGAAATACAGAACTTGTTACGCAATCCCCTCAAGGACACATGGTACAGTGGATAAAGGCGTTAGTTAGATCCAGTGACAGGACCAAAAGAGTTTGAGTTCAATACCTGGTTAAGGCGGTGGAGAACTTGGAGAGGGGAATTAACAGGGGATAACTAATAACTGACATCCATTAGACATGGCACGTGGAACTACAATAGTCTACACCAGCGTGGGTTCAGTTGGACATTCCAACCACCTGAAGAAGGCCGGAGCGTACAACGGCTGAAACGTTGTGAAAAATATGCCAACAAAGATGAGGATGATAGTCCGAACAATGTAAATAATGTAACTAAACTTATGCAATTTTGAACTCGTGCCTAATTCCGTAAGAACGTCCTACGTCATGTAAAAGTGCATATAATACAAAGTGTTCCCCCAAAATTGACATCATTTTGTTCTCTAATAACATAGCTAATTCTCGCTCAAATGATAACAAATTTTAACAAAATGTGTAACAACTAAGTTGACTGTGGGGACTTATCTCAATAAGAATCTACCAGGAAGATGGATCGGGATTGCCAGTGATGATGACAATGTGCTGTTGAAATGGCCACCACGTTCACCTGATTTGACATCTTGTTATTTTTTTCTGTGGGGCTATGTGAAAGGACAAGATCTATATCACCGTTTTCCTAAAAGCATAGAGAAACTTAAGCAGAGACTCACTGAGGCGCTGAAGAATGTTACGCAAGACTTGCTACTGCGTGTTTAACAGGAGCTGTACTACCAACTTGACATGTGTCGTGTCACAGGTGGTGCGCATATTGAACATTTGTGAAGCTTTGTGAAATCGATTATAAACTCTACATCCCTTTGAATATCTTATTCAAATTTTGATAAATAAATCTTTCATTCTTCAATATGAAGTCTATTTAATTTTTTTTTTTTTAAAATTGGCAGTTACTCATATATTTACATTTTAAATTAGATATATATATATTCATATATCATGCGAATTTTGAAGAAATAATTTTGAAACTAATTTTAAATTCAATCCTTATCATATTGACGAGATATAAATTAGCCCTGGCTATAATCTGCATATTTTTACTGTAGTCAAATTAGCTTCAAAATTATGTCTTCAAAGGTCGCATCATACGCGAGTATATACGATTTGTCAATTTTTTTTTATTTTTATTTTTTTTTTTTTGGTTGTGGGGACATCCTATATAATGAACTCGTATGAAATACAAAACTTGCTACTATTTACACTATTTACGTTGTTCAGACTGTTTTCCTCCTATTCCATATTCAAACATCTTAAATTAAAGGGAGATAACTGATACTGAAACATCCGAAAGACGCTCGTACGAGAAACTAAAACAATCTACCCCGGTGAACGAAATAAAGCGTTCAGTTCGAAATTCCAATCACCTGACGAAAGCCGGAGCTTACAATGGCCGAAACGTGGTGAATATGGCAACAACAGTCCGAAAAATGTATAGAGTCTAAATAATTACAATAGAGATAGAGACAGAACTTGCTACGTCATGACACGAAGCCTATAAAATATAGAATGTGTCTGTTACCATAGGAACTTGCTAGGTTATGTATCAAAGCCTATGTTGAACTCATATGAAATACCACAAAACCTGTTGTATGTGTGTGTGTTATTTATATGTACGTGAGTGTGTCTTATTATTAACATTTTTAAAGAAGCATTGCAACCTCTTACTTAGATTTTAAGAAATTATTGTCAATACGAAAATCAACAGGAAGGATGCAAGAAAGTTGTCATTTTAAAAAGCGTTCCTTTAAATTCGGTAGTTTTGACAGAGTAAGCCACAAGTGACAGAATGGTTGTGGACATTGTTCAACAATTTATGATTGTCTAAAGCCGAGGAGATTTGAGCGCGGCAAAGGAAATATATTTGCTTTTTTGTTTTTGTTTGTGTTTTTTTTGTTTTGTTTTTTGTCTCCTTAGTTTCCCTCTTTCATGCCCAGTCGTCCATTCCTTGCATCTCTCTCTCTCTCTTTTTTCGTTTTTTTTTTTTTAAGAAACTCACTTGGTTGACTTATTCTCTCTCTCTCTCTCTCTTTTAAAAAATCTCTCTCTCCCCTAAGATCAAACTTATACGACACAAGGTTAGAATGAGTGACATAATGCATATGTAAATATTGTATGATGCCAGTCTTTCATTATGGCTGCTTTAAATAAAAAAAAAAAAAAGACCCAAGCACTGACTTCCGTCTGTTCATTTTCTCCCCCCCCTCTCTCTCTCTCTCTTCTTAGCCTTTTCATATCTATCAATCTATCTACTCAGCCTTTTCACTGTCTATCTAACTGAACTATTTCATATCTATCTCAGCCTTTTCATATCTATCTATTTATCTATCTATCTCTCCCAGCCTTTTCATATCTAACTCAGCCTTTCATATCTATCAATGTACTCAGCCTTTTCATTATCTAACTCAGCTTTTTCATATCTATCTATCTATCTATCTATCTATCTATCTCTGACCATTTCTTTTCCACTCGTTGTCTCCCATTCCCTCTTCTTTCACAGAATTACTATTGAAGGAAATACTTAACCAAAAACCTTTACTAATATTTGAGCTTCACTTAAATCCGCTGAATATTTCTTTTCTTATGAAAGAAATTCATAATCTGTAAATCAACAAATATGGCACATTTTTTAGCCTTTCATGTTTGCTTCCCTACTGTTACCTTTCATCAAGGACAAAGTTAAAAAGAATCGATATCAACATCATTTTCCCTTTCTTTTTCATCAACATCATCAATAGCAGCAGCAGCAGCAGAAAGAAGGGGATGGATGTGGTTATGGTTGTCGACGTAAATAAAAGTGGGGGGTGGTGAAAATGAATAACAGTTCGATATTTGTGGATTGAATCTCAAAAAGACGTTAAGTTATAATCATTACGAAATAAGAGGAAATTGAAAATTTAAACACAGAGGCATAGACATTGTTCCACTTGTAGTTATTAGCTCACGTTCTTCCTGACATGGAATTGCAATACCCATTTAACATTTCACTATTGTGATTGTACTCCGATTTAAACACAATAGTGATGTCTGGGGGACGAATATCTAGCGTCAGAGAGAATTATTTTTTTAAGAAAAAGGTAAAATTTTCGAAGATTGATGTCAGCAAAATTGTTAGTTAAATTCTGCTGTTCCTTTGGTAGCGGGGTGAGGAATATAGTGAATAATAATATTATTAATAGCACAAATCGATAACGCTTAAATAAAAGTATTAGAATTTAACGCTTTTAAAGGCGAGCGTATTCTTTAAAAAAAGTGTTCAATGTAAAAAATAGAACAAGAATAGTCAAAATAAAGAATTGTTCAAAAATACTTACCTAAGGAACGACTTCAAGTTTTACAGACACGCGACGTATCTGCGAACATTGAAGTCGGTCTTAACATGAGTCGCTTGAACGTTTCCTTATTTTAACTAAGAATATGATCACAAAGAAATCTTTACTTACTCCTTCGAGTTTAATAATTGTGTAAATATATTTGTTAAAGCGACTACAGGTATACCTCACCCTATGTTTTTAATTGGTTCCAGAGCTCACGACTTACGTAAAAAAATCAACTTAAGTTGAAATACCCACACTATAAACCTCAAATAAGCACTGACCATTGCCTATTACAGTATTTATATGTGTACAGTATTCTAAATAAGATAATTAATTTCCACCTTATCTTCCAGCGATATAGCCTTACACTTAGCATTAGCACTTGCATTAGGACTTTTCTTTGGAGTCCTGGGCAAAAATGTATTCTAAATCACTACTGAAATGTAACTGAAAGAACATCAACGGCATAGCACAGATGTAAACAAGTCTGAACGCAACATTGGTGTTGGAACGGAAAACAACGCACGGGTGCTGCCTGTTGGTAGGAATTTTAAATAAAAACATCTGCTGCACATACTTTATTAATTCTAACTTTTTTGCTTTTGATGATATATATATATTTATAGAAAAAAGGATCATTTCATTCATAACGGATTCGGAGGTTTTTGTATATTATTTGAATTGTTTGCGACGATGGATTTCTCGCCAATTAAATCATTAACCTTTGCATTTGTTTTTGTGTGAATAATTCATGAATTTGTCTATTGATTGCACGTTTATCGTAATTTAAATAACTGATCCAAGTGCGACTTTTGGATAATAAGTGCGACATTACTGTAATTATTGAACAATATAGTTCATGCCACTTTGACAGAAAAATTTACCAGTAAAAAAAATTCGTTCATCACCATATTTGTATATGAACGCACAACTTTTTAAAAAATTTAAAATCAAACTCAGCGTTGCTTTTGCGCGCTCCAAAAACAATAACTCATTTTCAATAGCATTTTCGGATACAACAATACATATATTTTTTCGTTGTCCTCTTATTACTAAGAGAAAAAAAACAAGAACAACATCTATTCTATACCTGAAGATGTCTGTAGGAACAGACGAAAGCTTGTAGTAAAAATAAGAACTAATACGGCAGAAATTTATATAAACAAGGATCATTTCATTCATAACGGATTCGGAGGTTTTTGTATATTATTTGAATTGTTTGCGATGATGGATTTCTCGCCAATTAAATCATTAACCTTTGCATTTGTTTTTTGTGTGAATAATTCATGAATATATATATATATATATATATATATATATATATATATATATATATATATATATATATATACATATTTAAATTTATTTAAATATAAAATTTATTTGTGTTTATTTTTATTTTAATGTTTTGACGTATCTAATATTTTTTAACGGCCGATGTAAACTCAAAATGACCTAA